TTTCATTTTGAAAACAATTATTGAGCAATCACCTATTTACTGCTTCTCAGACTCTGTGCCAAGTGCTAAGAATATAAAGTTAACAGTCTATCATCCCTGACCTGTCTCATCACCTATGACACAATGCGATGGGATCCTATAAAGTGAGAAGGGATTAAGGGAGTTAATTTAGTTCTGACTGTTGAAAGGGAGATGGAGGCAGGAAAGTCTGTATTGAGAAGACTCCCTGGGAGAGGAGGTAACACGTGAGCTGAACTGACAAGGTACGTAGAGTTCAACAGAAGACAAAAATCCCATGGGCAAAGACATTTTAGCACCAGCCTGCCCTCATATAAGGACAAATTTGTATTCTAGTTTATTTTCTTTGCACTTACCTTACGATGTAAGTTTATTCTGGTTGAGATCATTCTAAAGAATCCTATTTACTTCTTTCTGACAAAGAATAGTGGAGAGTTTTAAGTGTGGGCAGATAGAGTTAGGTGTTTCCTCCTTTGTGCTCCCTTAGCAGTGACTCTCAGCATTAATCATAGTAATTATCTGCTTTTTTGTTTATCTTCTCCTGAGGCTTTGACCTCTTCCTGGAAGGAAACTTATTCTCCTAATCATTATCAAGTATTTGTATTAGTAAAGAAACTTGTGTTTGCAAGTGAAAGAAGTCAACACAAACCAAACTTGACGCTGGTCAACCAAACACACGGAGAAGAGAAGGGGAAAACATAGACTCATGTAACAGGAATGGATTCCAGCCAAGTTAGGTCCAGCTGCTTGAGTCAGGTGTTCTGGGCTGAGTCTTCACACTGTTCTGCTTTTCCCTGTACTGACTGTAAAGTGGATTCTCTCTTCATGATGTCAAAATAGATTTGAATTCTTCAATGATAGTCTATCCTTTCTGAGACTCCTGCAGAAAGAGCAAGTCTCCATTTTTGAAAGTTCTAAATAAAAGCTTTCAAATGAGACTGTGGGCTCTTACAGGGTCACATGTGAATTGCTGAATGAATTCCTATGGATACGGTCTAAACCATATGGATTGAGAATGAGTAAGTATGATTTCCTACAGAAAACTGTGGAGCTGTTACCTGAAGCAAAGGGAGTGGATACGAAGAAAATGAAAGCAAAAAATGTTCACCATGCATGCAATATTTATGGACCAATGAGAGCACATTCCATGCTAGTGGCTCTTTGAGGAATTTTACCATCCATAATCTTACTTAATCTTTAGGTAACTCCATGAGAAAAGGGTCATCATCCCCACTTTCCAGGGTAGGAAACTAGAGCAGGAAGATTAATTATTTAATATAAGATTTAATGTAAGTTTAAATAATTTATCAAATAATTTGACAAATTACTTAATAAAATTATTAAAATTAAATTAAATTAAATTATCTATTACATTAAGATGTAAGAATAAATTATTTAGTATAAGATTAAAGATCTGTTATATAGTAAATTCAGGAGGTGAGCCCTATCACAAGCTTGATTTTGTATGTTCCTTCAGTTTTCACTAAAGCAAGTTCCCAAGAGCAAACAACCCAGGACCCACACTGAAGGCAAGGGCACAACTTGTTTATTTCATTTCTGCCAGCAGCCTTCTTGACCACCAGGCTGGGATGCAGTCACATGGATCAAAGAATAACAAATAATATTATTTCACCCTCAGGATCTCCATCAGAACCACCAGGGAGCAGTAGATGACTAAGTCACCCACCGAGCTGCCTCCAGTTAGACACTTGCTTGAAAACGAATGGGAAAGCTTATGGAGGGGAAGAAGGAAGGGGAAAGAATCATGTCACCAATAATTCATATCTGCGTGGCTTTCTGATTCTCAAAGGCCTTCACATACATGCTTGTTTTTGATTTTGCCTTTTCACAAGCAGGGCATGCATCATTAGTCCCATTGTACAGAAAAGCAATCCAAGACCCAGAAATGCTAAGGCAGGAATTTTGTTCTAAATCATCCAGCTTGTTCGGAACATGAGCTTGGAAGACAAATGCCCCTGGTTTGAAACCCGAGTTTACCACTTATGAGCTATGAGACCCTGGATGTCACTTAACCTCTCTGTGACCTCATTTCCTCTTCTGTAAAATGGAGCGAAGGATAGTATCCATCTCAAAGTTTGCTGTGGGGATCAAATGATAGATTGCATGTCAAGGGCTAAGAACATTTTTGGCACAGAGTATTCGATAAACACTATTATTATATTTGTAGAGTGTCTTATGGTTCACACAAAGTATACTCAGTTCAACTACATTTATTAAATGCCAGAGCCAGGCACTGTGCTAAATTCTGGAGCTGCTAGAATAAATCACTTATGATCCCACAATGCTTTCGGTCACAGGGAGATGTAAGAAATAGTGGAGATATACTGATACATTTGGTATGATATTTTTAGACAACAAAGATAATTAGAAGGAGAATTTAGCCCAGTCTGGGAGTGTTAGAAAGGGCTTCCTGAAGGAAAATACTTTTCTAGCTTTACCCTGGCTAAAAATCCTATGGAAAAAAAAAAGTGTGATTTTTTTCTGTTCTATGAATACATGAAAAAAAGCTCAGAAAAGTTAAAAGACTTCCCAAAGTCCCTCTGTAAACGGCAAAGTGGTGCCTCAGTTATGCTACCCTATCCCCAATGATACATTTCCTTGGAATAAAGTCATCAAGTAATAAGCTGGGATTTTTTTTTTAATTTTCTCTCACTATCTTTCTTGTTTAAAAGGAAAAAGAAACTATCATTTTTTCTGCAGCTCCCCTTTTCTCCACGAAAAATTTGGCAGAGTGCCAAGTTCTGTAAAATTCACCATCTGCTAAGAGTCACGGAACCTAGGCCAAAAGGGACAGCTGTATACCACAAGGAATCTAGAGGGATAGAAACATATATGTTGTTGAATCCTCATTTGACTCCTAACAAGCTCTATGGCAACAGGCAAACAACCACATAGTCTCATTAATGGAGCAATAAGTTTCCATCTCCTAGAATTGATACAATGACTACATATCAAGTTCTTAGCTTGTGCTTGGCAGACATAATTGCTCAATAAACACTCGCCATTAACTTTAGCTAGAAAAATGCCATCTGCAGGAGGATCACTTGAGTCCAGCAGGTTGAGGCTGCAATAAGCTGTGTTCACATCACTGCACTCCAGTCTAGATGACAGAGAAAGACACTGAGAGAAAGAGAGACAGAGAGAAAGAGAGAAGAAAAGGAAGAGAGGAAGGGAAGGAAGAGAGGAAGGGAGGGAAAGGAAGGAAGGAGGGAGGTAAGGAAGGAAGGAAAGGAAGGAAGGAGTGAGGGAAGAAAGGAAGGAAGGAAACGAAGGAAGGAGGGAAGGAAAGAAGGAAGGGGTGAGGAAAGGAAGGAAGGAAACGAAGGAAGGAGGGAAGGAAGGAAGGAGGGAAAGAATGAAAGAAGGAAAGAAGGAAGGGAGTGAAGGGAGGGAGGGAGGGAGGGAGGGAGGGAGGGTGGGAGAAGCAGGAAGGCAGGGAGGAGGGTGGGAGGGAGGGAGGGGAAGGAAGGAAAGGAAGGAAGAAAGGGAGGGAGGGAGGAGAGAAATGGAAGGAAGGAAGGACGGGAAGGAGGGAAGGAAAGGCAGGCAGGCAGGAAGTCATCATCTAGTTCACCCAGTTCTCCTCTCTGGTCTGAACACAGGTATCACCTGTGCATTCTTTTTTGCCACCCTAGTTTTTGCCATCCTAGGACGCTTCTATAGCTTCCCTTGTAAAGTATTCCAATGTCTGATCAATCTCACAACCTGGAAATCCAACTCTTCCAATATTATGCCTGCTTTCATTTAAAATTTCAACATTCTGCACTCAGAAAAAAGAAAAAGAAACAATTTCTGGTAGTGTTTAAGTTAATTAACATCACAACTTTCTCACTCAAATCGTCTAATCCCAAGAACCTCATTTGTGTCTTTAGACGGTTTTGTTTCTCCTCCTTCCCTCTGCTGATGGACAGGGCTCTCTCACGCCCTGAGATCGCTGGAGTGATAATGCAGCTATCTGGTCAGAATATCGTGTGTGTTGTGCACTTTGTTATCAAAGCACATTTACATGCTCACCTTGTTGATCCTAAATCATCCGAGTGAGGTGTGGAGAGCAGATTCTATCCCCACGTTTAGGAAAGGAAGCATAAAGGAAAGAAGAAAAGTAACCATCATTGCTGAGCACTGATTGTATCTCGGGTGTTCTGTGTCTCTTGTCTCATTTGAACTTCTGAAAAGCCCACTCCAGTAGGTGTTATTTGATCAATTTGCTGGAGAGAAAAGCAAGACAGAGAGGGAAGTTTTGCACTCAGATTTCTCCGGATAGTGAGTGGTCTGAACACAGATGGAACTGAGGTGGAACTGAGGCTTCAGTCAAATCTGCCCTAGTCCAAAGTCGATAAACTCAATCACTGGCCTATTGAAGATTTGTTCAACCCATCAGGGACTAACATGGTATTGAAATCCAAGACTCCTGATTTTCAGTCTAGGCAGTGTTCATTAAACCATTCATTCAATCCTTAATTCTCCAAGGTTCCTGAGCTACACTTGCCTATGATTAAGAGAGTTGCTACTCACAGAAAACTGCTTTGCAGCTTCCCTATTCCTAGCTTCCTAGGTCATGCCTACAATTTTGGGGTTCCCGAGCATGTAATCAGAGAGTAATAAGTTATGCATGTGTGTGTATGTGTATATATACATTTTATGTCCATTGTCCATCCAGACTTTGCTAGATTCTACAGCAAGAATAAAGATTTGCCAGGCCAAACATCTCAATTCAGCAATAAAAATACTTCTTCACACATACAGTTGAATGTGGAGAAAAGTAAAACATAAAATATACTGGAAGTTTCTTCCTTTCACCTGAGTGTCAAGTCCATGTGAACATACACGTCCACACTCCCAGCCAGGCTGTGAGGCAAGTACTGAGCTGATGGAAGGATTGTAACCATGTCCACCTTACCCTGGGAGAATGTGCTCATATTGCTATTTGATATGCTTCACTCTCATTTTCTGTTTCAAAGGAGATGATGGTGAAAAAGGAGACCCAGGAGAAGAGGGAACGCATGGAAAAGTGGGACCCATGGGGCCAAAAGGTAACTAAAATGATATGAAACTGACATGTTAATATCATAGTTGCTCTTCTCTCTCTCCTGGCACTTGCCCTGGAAATCAACAGCTTTCACAATGCCCTCTGCCCCAATGATGCCTAAAATATATTTCACACAAGAATTAAGTCGCCATCTGAGTACCCCTCTGAAATTACCTGTTAACAAGACTGACAAGTTTCTCAAGTTGTGTTCTTAGGGCTGGCTGGGGTGGTACACTGGGAGCCCTAGGGAAAAGCAGTCTTTGAGAATATTTAAGAAATGATGAGTTATAGAGCTATGTTCACAGTTGTGTCTTCCTTCTGAAGCCAATGCTAAATAGTATTTTTTTTAGCTGGCATAGAGCTTAAGGAGGAAGATAAAAAGAAACAAAAAGAGCTACCTGATTCATTGATCTATTCACCTCTCCCCAAGATCTCTTTATTTCTTTAATTCTCTCCTTTTTTAACACAAAAGAATAACACAGTGGAAAAATGGTGGGGGTATGGGAGGAGGGGGATCAAAGATGAAGAGAGTAACACAGAGGTGATTAGGAAGTGTCTTCACTCACAAAGCCGGGCATCAGCCTCACCAAAATATAGCTTCTGGTTTGTGATGGGTATGTGCGCACCTTCTGAACACTTGAAATATTTCTCACCCGCTGCTGCAAGAGGGCTGCCCTAGACCACTTATTTTAAAATCTGGAATAATTTAAAAGGAAGAGAGACTCACAGACCTGTGAGACCTCAATTTGGAAAATGCTGACTTAACCCTATCTATAAACATGTATGTCAATTACAAAAACGTTCTTATAAAATAAAGATTTTCAACTGGCAAATATTTTTTAGATTTTTATAAAACGAAATAATGTTAGAAGAACTCAGTGATTCCCGACCACAGTTTTTTGGAAGAAAATTTAGCCGGACCATGTCTGACGCTTCTTTGATCATTAGGTTTTATGACTGCACATTCCCTGACCTGATTTTAAGTGGCATGATTGTCAACTCTTGTTTTAAAAGAGAGAAGAAATAGAATTCCAGAAGGTAAACAAAATGGAGCTTGAGGAGAACAAAACCAGAATCGGGTCAAGAATACTTTCACCCGGCCCTTCTCTAACCTTTATTTTAAACATCCTCTGCCATAGTCATTCTAGAAATACTACATCAGCAAGTATTTTAATATCATCATGTCCATAGAGTATATTCATACTCTCATATTTTAATTTTAATACATACGTTATAGCTCTTAAAATAGATAATATAGCATGGGCTACAAATTATATATCACAGAATACACTTTTTCATATTTCTTTCACGTGAATATCACGTTAGCCACGTTTGAAGGGAAGATAAAACCTCACGATAAAAAGATGACACGCTTGCTTTTCAGGAATTAAAGGAGAACTGGGTGATATAGGAGATCAGGGCAACATTGGCAAGACTGGACCCATCGGCAAGAAGGGTAAGTTGCATCTTACTCTTCTCCAGTAGCAATTCAAAGCAAATTGAGGCCGGTGCAGTGGCTCACACCCATAATTCCAACACTGAAAGACCAAGGTGGGAGAATACCTTGAAGCCAGGAATTCAAAACCAACCTGGAGAGCACAGCAAGGCCCAGTACCTAAAAAAACAAAAATTCTTTTTTAATTAGCTGGGCATGGTGGCACACACCTATAGTCCCAGCTACATAGGAAGCTGAGGTGTGAGGATCGTCTGAGCCCAGAAGTTGGGGTCTGCAGTGAGCCGTGATCACAGCACTGCACTCCAGCCTGGGTGACAGAATAAGACCCTGTCTCTAAAATAAATAATAAATAAAGCAAATTAAGGCTATCCTTAATCATTTTAAGATTTTATATCATGAAAATATCTCCTTTTTCTTCTTTTAAAATATGAATTCTCTTTGTCTTTATAGTTTGGCTCTTTCTTTCATATATAAGCAATGTATCTCACAGCTCAAAAAAAAAAAAAGAAAAGTATTTAGAACAAAATGAAACAAGATTTCAGAAACACAATCAAGCATCAAGGTCTGACAGTCTTTATATTGAATTATCTCCTGGTATCTACTGGTTGGCTACAAATTATTGATACGTGATTATTCATAAAATACAAAATAGGCAGAAGACTGTAAAATTTTATTTTTTAATCTGAGTGGAGTAACCAAAAATTCTGTGACTATGGTATATTAACAGGATAGAAACTTGAAGCATGTATGTGGATACCCATTTGACTTCAATCATGTCCTGATCTTATACATCACTAAAGCCTGAGTATTAGAAAACAAAGATAGTCTCCTCTGGATTGCCTAAGCATTCCTTCCTTATCCTCCTCTCACAAAGCCCCACAATGTGGTGGCAGGTTCTAATTGCTTCTGATATTCAGTAATTTAAGCAAGCATTGTTTTTCTTAGTTCAGAGATATAAAACTGAATGAAAATAAAATTTTATTGCAAGAAATCCAAAGACTATTCAGGAAGATAGAACTTTCTCAAAAAGAATTAGAGGGCTGGCTCATACCTATAATCCTAGCACTTTGGAAGGCTAAGGTGGTAGATCACCAGGTCAAGAGATCGAGACCATCCTGGTCAACATGGTGAAACCTGATCTCTCCTAAAAATGTAAAAGTTAGCAGGCTGTGGTGGTGCATTCCTGTAGTCCCAGCTATTCAGGAGGCTGAGGCAGGAGAACTGCTCGAACCCAGGAGGCAGAGGTTACAGCCAAGGTCATGCCACTGCACTCCAGCCTGGAGACAGAGCAAGACTCTGTCTCAAAAAAAAAAAAAAAATTATTAGAGGTTGGGCATGGTAGCTCATCCCTGTAATCCCAGCACTTTGGGAGGCCAAGACGGGTGGATAACCTGAGCTCAGGAGTTTGAAACCAGCCTGGCCAACATGGCAAAACCCCATCTCTACTAAAAATACAAAATTAACTGACTGTGGTGGTACACACCTGTAATTTCAGGTACTCAGTAGGCTAAGGTACAAGGATCGCTTGAACCTGGAAGGCGGAGGTTGCAGTAGCCAAGATCATGCCACTGCACTCCAGCCTGGGAGATAGAGTGGGACTCTATCTCAAAGGAAAAAAAAAGAATTATAATATCTAATAGCTTGACTACTCCAGGACACATATTGGAGAGTAAGGCAAGAATAATATGTGAAAGAACAGACCTAGGTCTTGAAGAATAGTAACATGGAAATAGGCAAAAGGCACTACAGAGAGATGCAAGAGATGCTTGTATAAGAAAGATTAGGGGAAGCTCAGTGCCATGGGTAACAAAATTTCTGCAGCCTTGATGTACCCTCCATCTTGTCGTAAATGCTTGAGCAGCTGTGTAATTAAGCATGTGCCTCACTTGTCCAGCGGTACGTCTTTGCTGGCAGGTTGACAGACTGCAGTCTGAGCTTAGGCTGTAGCCCCTCTCTTCTCATCCAGTGACTCAGTCCTCCCTCTTTCTGCACTCTCCAGCTCACTCATTTGAGAAATTCCCTTCAGCCTGCATTTGGAGACAGGGGTGAAGAGTAGTGCCACTGAAGAAAAATTGCTATGGGTGTTTTTATCTGGTGGGTTATATTGTTTTTTTTCCCTGTGATTGAAATCCTCAAGCTGGGGAATAGCAACGTGAGCTTCTCATGGTTCAGAAGTCCTGCCGCAGTTTGTGTTTGTGATGGGTTTACCATGAGGAGTCCTCATTTGCTTCAATCCTTCCAAAGATGCTGATAAAAGCCTGGGCAATGGGTTCACATGACTATATACCTCAAAAAAAATTTATAAAGTAAGACAGATTCACCTCAAATGATTAAAATAGTGCTTCTTCACATTTGTAAAAGTTACTACTCCCCAAAAAAGCTTTTTAGACATATTTCTTTTCTAACTGCCCTCCCCATGAATTTTTAATACCACCCATGGGCGTTGTATTTGTTTATGTATTCTCTATATGTTTGTGCTTTATATATTTTTTAATGAGTACAATTCCACCCCCTAAAAACTGTACGTCCTGAGTGATACCACCCCATTGAGAAAGCACATATTAAGACCTCTTTCTCTTTCTGCTCTTGTTCTCCTCATCGTCTTTTTTGTACTAGGCAGCTTTGAAATGGATACAAGAATCTTTGGAGCTAGCTAAGAGGAGCTTGAGGAAGAAACATTTAGCTTGGAGTTAATGAGATATCTTTATGTAGTTTGACCTGACTCCCATGTATACTCATTGCCAGCAATTCCATGTGGAAATAGCTTCCAAGAATACTCCTACCACTTACTGTGCAGCTCTGTCCAAGGCCAGGATGCAAAAGTGCTGAGCCAGAGGTCAGATGATCATGTCAGTGTGTCCTGGGGCATCCAGCACACGAAATGTGTGGGTTGTGGAAAAGAAGCAATGTTCGAAATATACAGGGCCAGAGCTAGCCTGTGGAAAAAAATGTTTCCAAAAATCTAACAGCTTATATGAGAATTACTTTATAGAGGTATAGTCCCAAAATTGACAATATTATTAATTTAAGTATATTACCAATAACAAGTTATAAAGGTGAAAGAAAAATCTGACACTACTAATAATAAAGACAAAATTCAGACTTCTGCTACAGGTCATGAGGGATTTGCCTACCTTATGTTAATCCTTCTGCTAAGTATGACTAGCTGGGTCCAAATTAAAAAAAAAAAACTTTAAATTCATATTTGAAAGTATGACAGTGCAACCAAAATGAACAGAACTTGAGGTGCCTTGATCTGGAGGAGGAGGGAATCGTACTAAGGTCAGCTATGCATTCTGTAATACCGTCTTCCCAAGCATTCACCAGTTCATAAGTGGGGCAGCCCTAAGAGGCTAAGAGGCTTGAGCACAAAGTTGCTCAAACTGGATTGATATTTAAGGCCTGCCAAAGAGGAGTGGCCCAGGAAAATGCCTGCATATTCCCAGTTAGAACTCCAGAAACTACTCCAGAAAACATGCAATTTAAACCTATACCTATTCATGTTTTTAAAAACTGTTAGCAAATTAGAAATAGAAGGAAACATAATCTGAAAAGGAATATCAACAACAACAAAAATCTACTTAAAAATTATACTCCATAATGAAATACTGAACACTTACCTCCTGAGACTGGGAATGAAATTAGTGCAGCCCTCTACCAGCAATTCCAATCAACATTATGCGTGAGGTCCTAGCCAGAGCAAAAATGGAAAAAAAATAAAAATCATAATAATTGAAAATAAAGGAATATGAGCATCATTATTTGTGGAAAACATGATTGCAGACTCAGAAAGTACAAAAGAATCTACAGATAATCTATTAGTATTGATAAGTTTTTTAGATGGCTTGACACTCAAAAACTAATTTTGTTTCTTCATAGAAACAATTCAAAAATGAAAATAAAAGACCATTTATAATAGTGTTAAAAATAAATATGTAAAAATAAATAAGAGTTACAAGCCCTCCACAATAAACTCCACATAATAACAATGAAAGAAGTTAAAGAATATCTTAAAAATGAAGGTAAAACTATATTAATAGGTTACAAGACTCAATATTGTTATTGTTAATATGCCAGTTCTCTCTCAAATTGGTCTATAGACTCAATGCTACCTCAATCAAAATCCCAGAAGTGGGCCAGGCACGGTGACTTATGCCTATAATTCTAGCACTTTGGGAAGCCGAGGTGGATGGATCATCTGAGGGCAGGATTTTCAGACCAGCCTGGCCAACATGGTAAAACCCCATCTCTACTAAAAATACGAAAATTAGCCAGGTGTGTTGACATGTGCCTGTAATCCCAGCTACTCAGGAGGCTGAGGTGAAAAAAATCGCTTGAACCTGGGAGGCAGAGGTTGCAGTAAGCCGAGATCCTGCTACTGCATTACACCCTTGGCAACAGAGTGAGATGCCATCAAAAAGCCCCAGAAGTGTTCTTTTAGAAATTGATAAACCAATTCAAAATATATGTGTAAACAAAAATGACCAAGAATACCCAAGACAATCTTGAAAAAATGAAAAACAAAAACAAAGGTGAAAGACTTAAATTACTGAATTTATACATTTATTAGGAAACTAAACCATTAGAATAGTATAATTCCATGCAGAGACATATTAATTAGTAGAAAGTAAGCGTTCAGAAACAGACTAACAAACGTGATTTATATAAAGTGACACTAGTTTTTAATGGAAGTCACAACCTAATCAATATACAGCACTGAGTTATTGGCTATTCATGTATAAAAATAATAAGCTCGATCCCATACTTAACACTGTACCTAAAATCAATGGCTTATAGATCTAAATTTGGTGGTAAACCAAATCTGGTAGACCTAAATTTGAAAGGTAAGGCAATAATGCCTCTGGAAGTTAATATAGAACTCTATATTTTTGATCCTAGGATAGGCAACAACTTTTTAAACACATGAAAAGGACTAACCATGTAATAAAAACTAACAAATTGGAGTCTATCAAAATAAAGAACTTCTGGACGGGAACAGT